CTCTCTCTCTCTCTCTCTCTCTCTCTCTCTCTCTCTCTCTCTCTCTCACACACACACACACACACACACACACACACCTGCAAACACATATATTTCTGTTAACTCATTTACGCCCTAACCTAATCCCAAAAAGAATAAATGATGAGTTATTTTTAAAATGCATAGATATAGTAAGATCAAAAACTGTTAAAACAAAATAATGACCAAAAATAATGCTAAAGGGAAAACCAGAGGAAGAATGCAGGCAGGAAATCCTACCTGAAGAACACTGCTATTATTAGGCCAAGACTTAGTGCATTGTTTCCTAACAGCCTAAGCAAAGAGACAACATGATGGATTACAGGGCTATCATTTTCTACAAAAAGAAAGCACACCAGTTCATCAACAGAGGCAAACTTTCCTCTCCCTGAGCTCGAAGATGAATTTGTCAAGACGATCTTTATATAAGGGACAGTGAGGTCTATAATGCCCCCCATAGCAATTTTACAAGCAATATAGAGACATTCCACATGGCTATTCCTTGTACTGGCCTGACACTGAAGCCAAGTGCATGTTAAAAGTTGTAGTTCTATAAAGGCAGTGTGGGAAGTAAAGTTGGAAATAGAAAGAAAAAGGAGAAGCTGGCAGGAAGAAAAAGCACATATATGCATGCTCCTGTAACATGACTTAATGCAAATGTATGCTTAAACAATAGTGAAAACTGAATAGTTAATGCTTTCTTACAATATCTTGCCTGAATATCAGTGTCTCCCTGAGCTTCTGGTGGAAGTTATATCGCAGATCATTCAGCGTATATACTAAGATGTCAGCCATGCTACCAGACACAAAGATAACAAAGATGGCATATTTTTATGACAATTGAATAAATTATTTTGTTTGTCACATCAAATAGCCCAACCACATGTACATGAAGTGGTATGTAGACATGACTTATTTTTTGTTTTATTTTGTCCCATGTTTCTCCAGAAAGTGGTTCTGTATTTTGAATGAGTGCTCAATAGAAGCATCAGAGTTGTCTCCTGTAAGCAGTGTACCCCGTTATGGGTGTAGTTTATATGGACACTTAAACTTTTGCTTTACTAGCTTCACGGAGATATTAGAACGTCAAAATTGTATGTCAAAGCTCTATAATTTGCCTAGAAGAAAGACAAGTGCTAGATATGCAACCTATAAAGATGAGTGTTTTCCCCCCATCACTTATAAAAGAAACTATTAGCTTTAGATTTGAAACTGTCCTTTATAATAATAAATATAACTGAGTATCAGTTGTATTATAAAGCAAGAGCTTTCTGGTAAACACTGAATTTTAATCTCAGCTCTGTCAAATATTAGATAAGTGAGTTTGGGGTAGTAGTTAAGCTTTGTTAGCTTCAGTTGTTTCATCTATAAAATAGTGATGTATAATACCACCTCTCTTGGAGGATCAAAGGAGGGTAAGTGAATGCATCATGCCTAAAACATAATGCTCACAGTATTAAATCAACCAACCAACCAATCAATCAAGTAAGCATTTTGAGTATTACAGTCTCAACTTCAGGACATTGTCCTCCTTTCTTTTCAAAGAAGCAGAGGCTGCAGTTCATTAGACATACTATCTGCTAAAAAAATCATGGTCTCTACATGGCAAAAACTATATAAAAATAAATACATGCATTAATACAAGAGGGAAGTAAGTAGCTTAGGTTGCAAACATATCTCTCACTGGCTGGAAATGTGACCCATAAAAACCATGGGTTTTACCCTGTCCACAACCTCATAGGACATACATTAAAAAAAAAATCCAGATGGATTTAAATAAGATTTCACAAAGAGTATCTAGAGAAATTTCCTGAAGAAAAACATTGCTAATATTTTCATAATTTTGTGCAGTTAAATTTTTATTTAAATTAAGATCTGGTAAACCAACTCATCCCGGATGAAACCTATTGATTTCTCTATGGCATGCATTACTACCAGTAACTTCTTAGACCACCACTCGACACTGTCCATTCATTTTCTACCATCGGCAGGCAGAGTCTCAAAATGTCAAATACAAAAAAGTGTCTCAAAATACTGAGGGTATCCTAGGAAAATAGCACTTTGCATGAGTTTATCAAGAAGTTTTGCTAACTTTGAGTGTGTGTATATATACTTATATATAAAAATGAATGAACAATGTCTTCATCTGTCTCTCTCTCGCTCCCTTTCTCTCTTAATCTGTCAAGCAACTGTTTATTTTTTTGTTTATTTTTTAAAGACTTTTTTTTTTAATTGGGGAATTGGGGGGATGGGAACAGTGCTGGGGAATTGGGGAAGGGGAACAGACAAGTTGCTGTCGTTTTTTTTGTTCTTCAGTCTAGTTGTGGAGGACGTTGCTTCACTGGCCCAAGTTGGCACCATCATTGCGCTCTTCCTGGGCAAGACAGATCAGTCGCTGG